ACCATCGGTGACCATCATCCCAAAGTCCCCAGCCAGGGAGCTTAACGGGACCCACGGTCCTGGTTAGGGTTTTCATACCCTCATGCCAGGTCTTAGTTTGACCACCCCTGACCTTCTTCCAACAACTGCCTGCCTCGGCAAAAATCACACGCCGTGGCTACCTATCTGGTGACATGCGTAACACATGTCCCAAACAACGTAATCTATGGAGGTCGACCACTTACTCCAGTGGACGACCACGACTGCATAAAACTTTACGCCTAACCTCAGCAGTGCTCGTTCGGCTGCACCACCAGATTCGTGCAATGTGACGTAGACAGCGGTGTTCAAACACCGACAATCTATTCTTATCCTGTTCCTGTAATGGCCAAGTCTCTGCACCGCAAATCAGCACTGGCCGAACTGCTGCAGCATATACTCGACCCTTTACAGACAGCCGGATGTCACGACAGCGACGCAAATGTCTCAATTTGGTAAATGCCAGCCGAGCCTTTTGTAAGCGTACCGACACTTCATCTGTGATGCGTCCGCCAGGTGAGATATAATTGCCCCGATAGAAAAATTTGTCTACTTCCTCTACTACTCGCAACTTACCTGGATCTTCACTTAGTAGCACAATGTTGTCTGCATACCCAAGATCAGGCAGTCTTCCACCTGGGAGGAAGTCGATTCCGCTATCCTCACAGGAGGACAGCGCTGTTTTAAGAATTAAATCTACGACAAATTCAAATAGAAACGGAGACAGAGGGCAACCCCGTCGAACACCACTTTCTGTAATAAAGTCGGGTGAATAAGTGCCGTAAGCTCGAGCTCCGCTTCCGCTATTCATGTGGTTCCTCACACCAGGTTTAAGAGCATTGATTATCAGTTCCTATGACCGGAGAGTAGATCCTTGTGACTGAGCTGTTCAATTTGTTCCCAACTCAACGCAATGGTGTGCTTCTAATGGAAAACAACAACAACAACAATAACCGTATGAACACTCACTCTCATCTGTTTCATCATGTTGCAGCGCCTGCTCCACTGCGATCCACAAGCAGCACAGCTTTGCACGCGAAGAGGATTGTTGGGCGTACACCGAGAGAACGGTCTCCAGTGTGCTGCAGTCGGAGTTCGGGAAGAGCACCCCGAGACCGAGATTCACATTTTGATCAGTCAGACAGCATTCAATCCACAGGGTGCGCACGACATCGGGCCAATAGAACGATTTCTGTCGAAATGCGAACATGAAATTCACGATTAGGGAGGAAGAATAATCTATCAACTTCATTTTTAGTACTACTGGGTGGTTATTTATTGGGTATGAAACATTAAACTAACTGATAAGTAACGACTGAGAAAAACCCGGATAAATCGTTCGGTTTGCTCTCAGAGTAACTGAAGTCGTCTGCCCCATGTCCATCACATATGGTTCATAAATCCTGGTCAACCAGATCAGAAAGCAGAACACCGATGTAAAGCAGGCTGTAGAATGTACGAACAGCACTGACAATTTTAACATAGTGAGCATTTTCCATCGATACCGTCAAAATATATTCAATTATAAACACAACAGTACACGTTATAAACAAGGCACGAATACTATATGAGAAGGAAACTCAGATACGTATGCTCAACTTATTCCCGTTTTGAGAGCAAAATTCAAAGAGAGGAAGTCACCCAATGGACATTGAAAACGGAAATGACCGGGATTGATCGATCGGACAACCGCTGGCTGATCCATTTTGTTCCGTTCAACCAATGCGGACTCGAATTGCCTTGCGCTCCGCGAGCGTGCTTGTGGCGTGACGGGAATACGTACGCGGCTTGACTGGTTCTTTGGACTCCATCCTAACAGTTTTATTTAAACATCTTCATAATTTAGCATTTTAAAATAAATAATAAATACATGTTGGATCATAATTGTACACATATTTGGGTTGACTGACATCTTGGTAGTTTGAGCATATTTCTCCATGCACTGCACCCGCCATTCTCTCGCAGACAATGTGCGGGATGGATCCCACGCAAGTATGACCGTGGCGCGGGCGTCGCTTCACACAATGCTTATCACACTCGAGACACCTTCAGTTAAGTGGTGTTCTTATCGTGAAACCGAATCGAAAAAATGGAGTGCTCCTATAATTTTTGAACACCCTCCGGTATTCGGCTGGCTTTATTTGACAATAGGATTCTTTGAAGCCAATTCGCATTAGTCACTTGCGGATGTCGTACTTTAGCCTAATTCATCCGGTTTAATTTGTGTAGTGAGTGTTTTAACAGGACTGTATCATTTTAACGATGAAGATTATCAATTTTAGAGTCGACATTCAGAAGAAAACACCAATTTTTGAACTTAGAAGTTTTTAAAAATTTCCGTAACCAGAAAAAATAATGGTTTATTTCGACAGACCTGGTTACGTTATTTCAATCGCAGTTGGTTTGCTAGAGATATTTCATTCCGTTCTTGATATATGGTCAAACTGATCACTTTGATTGTTCAGTACTTGAAACATAGAATTTTGTTGGAGCTTCTGTGGCAATACTACACAAATGGAATATAATCTGCAAGTGTCGCACAAACTGGATATGAATCTGGCTAACAGTGATGCGTATATCGATCGAACATGATCAACTGGTGCCCTATTGCAGCCGCTAAAAGTGTCGCTTATGAATTCTATTGGTGCATCATGCGGCGAACGTAAGCAATGGCTCAAGCGTTGATCGAGCATATCAACAGAGCATGGTCCGATATGATATGATATGGGGAGAGGAAAGAACACACAAATACACACAGACATGTATGCGTACTGTCAAGGTGAAAAATCAAGATATAACATGAGAATTGGGGTGTGACCGGGGCACGTCTCACAATCGTCACCCCCGCGCTTCAACAGGAGGTTGAGAAGTCTATGTTGCATGGTGGTCATCCAGACATGGATGAGAGACTTGAAAAGTACATGAGCCCGGCAGCCCCGACGTGGTCAACGGGACAACTTCAATTATATTCGGACAAATTGAACTGCACAAAATATAGACTGTGGTCAACCTATGAAGTTTTTCCCTTACTCAAGGCATGTTTGGCTGGCACCACCAATAAAGACTTGTACTGTCTGCAACTGTCTTTTACTTGGATCATTAGAAGAGACATCGTGCGGGCCAGATGCGGTGAGTGTTGGCAGATAACCTAATTGCGAAAAAGCCAGGCTGCCGCGTTATGTTTAACAGAATCACCGGGAGACAAACTATGACAAACTTTGGATGATCATCTTCGCGATTATCGATAAAAATAAACCCAGATATCGGAAAGAACTGTAATACTAGGACTGCACAAGAGTAGGACCTCGGGATATAAATCCCCGACGGACATACCTGGAACATGGGAATGTAACGCGGTACGAGATCGTGAGATGCATAGTTGGTCAAAGCAGGTTGTTCTGAAGCGGATGCATTGGCTAATCGCAACGCTAGCATCCACTCGACCAGGCAACCGTGAACAGTTCCGGACCAGTTAGGTTTCTGAAGCTGTAATCGGAAAGGCGTTGCAGCAGGTCTGGGCTGCAGGAAGTCAGTCAACTGACTCAATGGCACCGAGGCCAGCTCACTCAGTTCACGACTTTCTAAGCACATTTCATTTTGATGCGCAGCAAGATAGGATAAAACTGATTTGCAAGGGGAAGGGGATAGAATGGAATAGTAAAGTGGGGGTTAGAAAACGATGATTGCAAATCAATTTTTTCATAGACCTAGGAAAAACCGTCCGATTAAATATTAAACGCATTCTACTATGTATCGACTGAAGATGTTTTACAGGGTTACAGCTGACAATGTTCTAGCTTCATTGCGTCGTTCTTAAGCCAACTTAAGCACAAACAAATAAGATCAGAAAATCGTTAGACTACACCCACTGATACCTACTCCGCTGTCATCCGCCAAACAGTATTTTAAAAAATAGAATTAAATTGATTTGATAATAAATTCAATGTTTGACTTGGTGCTGGGGCTAAATCGCAGAAACTGAAAACCAACGACGTGGAAATTAGCAGCAGTACGTGCTACACTACATGGAAGGTAAAAGTGAAAAAAATTGTATCAACGGTTATTTCTCGTAAGCAGTGCGCCACTGACACCAGTTTCGAGCCATGTCCGCGAGCGTATCGCCATCCTTCGAAACCCAAGTCTGGGAGTCGAGTGAATTCTACCATTGTCGTTTCTGATGCCAGTGTCTGCGTCTCTAAGGCTCAGGTCATTCGGTGTCCACTTTGTTATCGTTTCCAGCGAACATCGACCTGGGCAAACAAAAAGTGACGGGGCAGACGTGGACCAACATGTGCAGCACATGTTCAAGTCACGGAAGCCTTTACAGCACTCAGAGGTTGGCTAAGACTGTCTGAGAAGAAATACTTCAATGAATTTGGTCACCGTTGATTCTCAGCTGCCGGCGTATTCTGAGGATACAACGAACGTAACGACATTCAAAGAAAGTAATACTGTTTTCGTGCACAACACGTATGGGTTAACCCTCTCGGTTAGAGAGTAAAAACCGGCGTACAATGGCAGTGAAGATTTGGTCATCCAAGGAAGGACTGAGATTACATCTGCACCATAGCTGACGGAGGTTGGGGAATACGACCCAGGGTTTTCCGGATATAAGTTGATATCTCTTCTGCCAATCCCCCTTGCACTGAAACAATTCCCAAGGTAGATAAAAAAATTCCCTAATTTCTAGCTGGTTAACCGTCAGTGTCAATGTGGAAGCAACCTTCTCCTGTGGCAAGACTATACTTCGCTGGAGAGAAAGTTATTTTTAAACTATGTGACAGAGGGTTCTGGATTGAATAGAAAATCTTGGGTAACGTGAGGGAAGTCACAAATTATAGCGATACTTTCTGCATATTCCGAATAATGAAGCCAATCACAAGAATAGTTGTGTCAGTTTTCTAGATTACTTATCCGGATTTGTTCCATGGCAAAATTGATCAGGCAGAATGAAACCAAGTATCCCTGTTGCAATCAATTCTGGATGGTAAATGAAGGGAAGACGTAGTCATAAAGCTTGACGGGACTTGGTATTTCTCGTAGACGGCTTTGAGAATGGTTAATTCATTTTCTTG